GGGAGCGGAGGGTGCGCGCGGCGCGGGCCGGGCGAAGGCGCGGGGCAGGCTGCGGGCCGCGGTGCAAGCCGCCCGAGATGCGCGGCGCGGGGTCCGGGTTTCCGCCCCGCGGTGACTCACGCTGTTTAGGGGATTTCGGGTCCCGTCCCCGCCCCGCCGCGGTTCGCGGAGCTCGGTGATGTCACCCTGGGCCGGGTCTGGAGCTCCGCCAGGGCCGCTGGGCTGCGGCCGGTCGGCCTGCGCCGGGAAAGGCCCGGGCCTGCTGCGACTGAGCTCCACGCGCGTTCCTAACCGTGCGGGGTACCGCGGCACGCTCCGCCTCTGTGCGCCCCAGCCGAGGAACGGCGCGGGAGGAGCTGGGAGCACGGTGCTAGCACTGAGGCCTAGGGTCAGGCTGCGGGCTCCACAACCGTGCCTCCGCGGGCCGAGTTAAGAGCCCACGGGGACTCCGCGTCAACAGTCGATCCCACGAGGACAGTCGACCCTATGGGGACTCCGCGTGGACAGTCCACCCCACAGGGACAGTCGATTCCCAAGGGGACACCGCGTGGACAGACGATCCCACGGGGACCCCACGAGGGCAGTCGACCCTACGAGGACAGGGACCCCAGAGGATAGTAGCCCCTACAGGGACTCCCACAGGGACAAGGGACCCTACGAGGACAGTCGATCACACGGGGACCCTGCGTGGACAGTGAACGCCACGGGGACAGTCAATCGCACTGGGACCCCGCGTGAACAGTGAACGTCATGGGGACAGTGAACCTCACAGGGACAAGAGATCCCACGCATCTGTCTGCCCAGTAGAGCCGGTCTGCGAAGGTTCCAGACCCCTGGACAGGCTGAGTGGGAACCAGGGCAGGACTCCACCCCAGTCAGCCTCCCCAGGCCAGAATGAGGCTCCACAGCATGTTGGCGAGTCTTCGCCACATGGAGACTGACTTTTTTCTGAATTCGTTCTAAATTAGGAAATCATGTGGGAATTGGAAAAGATTGGAAATTCTGACTTGCTTTCCCAGGCTCTGAAAAAAACAGGAAGACAAAAGTGAAAATACAGCCCCTCCCACTCACTCCAGTTTCTCACTCGGAGCAGATTATAAATGTTTACTGTCTTGAAAAGATCGACTTCAAGGTGATAGAATGAATTATGATCTGACTAATGGCACACAACCATCCTTGGGCCTTGCATGGCCCTCTAGACGGTTAGGTTGTGTCTGAGCCTCTAAAGGCTAGCCATCTTTCCAGCAATGATTCTCCTTTAGAAATTGACAAGGGGGCTGGAGAGGTGGCTCAGTGGGATTCCTTTCCCAGCTCCCACATGGCAGGTAACAGCCCTCTGTAACTCTAGTTGCAGGGGGATCCAACACCCTCTTCCTTACCTCCATTGAGCATGTATGGGCATTGCACAACACATGTGCACTTACACACGTGCAGGCAATACATTCATACAAAAAACAAACAAGAAAATAAAGCTGGGCATGGTGGCACATGCCTTTAATCCCAGCACTTGGGAGGCAGAGGTACGTGGATCTCTGAGATAGAGGCCAGCCTGGTGTACATAGAGAGTTCCAGGCCAGCTGGGGCTACAGGAAGATCATGTCTCAAAAGACAAATAAATAGGGAGGAGAGATGGCTCAGTGGTTAAGGGTACTGGTTGCCCCTGGTTTGATTCCCAGCACCCACATGGTGGCTAACAACCATCTGTAACTTCAGTTCCAGAGGAATTTGACGCTCTCTTCTGACTTCCACAGGCGTTGCACGACACCAGTATACTTACATACATGCAGGAAAGACATTCATACACACACAAAAATATTAAAAGACCAATAAATAAAATTGATATATACTTGTAACTATGAATACCAGTGCAGTTCAGTGTTCTTTTTGAAAACTAAAGGGATTAGAGATGTAAGTCAGTAGAGTGCTTGCTTACCATACATGAAGCCCTGGGTTTCATCCCTAGCTCCCTGGTGCACCTGTAATCCCAGCACTCTGGAGGTAGAGGCTGTAGGATCTGAGTTCAAGGTCACCCTCTGCTACATAGCTTGGAGCCAGCCTGGGCTACATTAAGACCCGGTCTCAAAAATAAGGGAGTGGGGTGGGGAGTGCACTTCTTTAATCCCAGCACTCAGGAGGCAGAGACAGGAGGACCCTGTGAGGTTGAGGCCAGCCTGGTCTACATAGGGAGTACCAGGTCAGCTAGGACTACAGGGAACCCTGTCTCAAAAAGACCAGGGGGTGGGGGCAGTGGGGCTGGGGAGTAGAGACCTGAGAGAGATGACTCAGCAGTTAAGGGAGGCACTGCTCCTGGGAGGAACCTTTTTTCCCAGCCAGAAGAGGGTATTGTCCTTGCTTTGTTGTTTTGCCTTTTTTTTTTTTTTTTTTTTTGTTTTTTTTTTTTTTTTTTTTTTTTTTTTGGTCTTTTTTGTTATTTTGTCTGCTCCCCCACCCCACCCCGGAGCTGAGGCCCTAACCCAGAGCCTTGTGGTTGCTAGGCAAGCGCTCTACCACTGAGCTAAATCCCCAACCCCTGCTTTGTTGTTTTTGCACATGTGCATGCATGTTACAGCTTGTGGAGGTCAGAGGACACGTCAGCAGAGTTGATTCTTTCCTTTCACTATGTGGGGCCCAGTGATCAAACTCAGATCATCAAGCTTGATGACAGGCACCTTTATCCCGCTCAGACATCTCACCTGCCCGTTTTGTTTTGAGACAGGGTCTTATGTAGCCCTGGCTGCCTATCAGATGCTCTACGTAGCCAAGGTTGACTTTGAACTCCTGCCTGTACCATACAAATGCTTTACAGGTGTGTGCCACAACATCTGGCCCATTATTTTGTTCTCTTTTTGGTGTGTGCATACACTCGAGTGCGTGCATGACGTGTGTGTGTTTGTATGTATGTATGTATACGTGTGTGTGAGTGCAGGTGTCACGGCATATCTAGAGTCAAAGAACAATCTCCAGGGTCCTTTTTCACATTCCACCTTATTTGTGACAGGGTCTTTTTTTTTTTTTTTTTTTCTGTCTTTGGTCATTTTGAGACAGGGTGGTTTCCCTCTAGCCACAGTTAGCCAGGAATTCACTAGGTAGACCAGGCTGACCTTGGTCTCACAGAGCTCCGCCTGCTCTGCCTCCCAGGTGCTGGGACTACAGGAGTGTGCCACCACGCCCGGCCTTTTTTTCACTACTACATACACCAGGCTAGCTGGCCCGAAATCTGCATAGCCTTTTTTAAATTACTTATTTTTTTATGTTTTATTATTTTTATTTTATGTGTATGAGTGTATTGCCTGCATGTGAGTGCATCCGTGTCGTGCAATGCCAAGGAGGTCAGAAGAGGGCTTCAGATTCCCCTGGAACTGGAGTTAGACACAGTTTGTAGCCGCCATGTGGGTGCTGGGAATTGAACCCGGGTCCTCTGCAAGAGCAGTCAGTGCTCTTAACCACTGAGCCATCTCTCCAACCCGAAATCTGCATATTCTTTCTGTCTCCCATCTCGCCATAGGAACTCTAGGATTACAGATGTGCTTCTGTGCCTGGCTTTACATGGATCCTGGAAATTAGAACTCAGACAAGCACTTTACCCACTGAGCCATCTCTCCAGCCCAATTTTTTATTTTGTTTGAGCGTGTGTGTGAGATATAGGGTCTTGCTGTATAGCCCAAGCTAACCTAGAACTCACTGTGCAGCCCAGGATGGCCTCAACTCTTGATAGGCCTCCTGCCTTAGCCTCCCAAGGGCTGGGATTATAGGCACAGTCAGCAGAAGCACTAGCTAGTACCTTTCCCCCCTGCCCAACATATCACTAGGGTTCAACTCCCTACAGTTCACTTACTGTTCATCACTCTGTGCTGTTGTGTAAAGACATCCCAGCTTACTTACCCCTTCACACTGATAAGGGTTCCACTCTTTGCTATTATAAACAATATCTCCTGTTGTACATGTATTCAAGAGTATTATCATGGAGTAATTTCCTCCTAATTGAACCATTCATAGGGGAGGCTCAAGATTCAGGAAGGAAAGGAAATTTACAAGGCACATGAAGTAAAATTTAGAGACAGGACCTCCATGCCACCTGTGAGTCATTCAGAAAACTCAAGGGAGGCAGCTTTTGTGAGTCAACGTGTGCTGGGTGGGCTTTTCAGTGATACAGCTGCCTTTGAGTCATTCATTCTTCTGTAAATACCCCCCCATACTCCTGTAAGAGTCTGATAAGAGGCTGGAGAGATGGCTCAGTGGGTAAGAGCACTGACTGCTCTTGCAGAGGACCAGGGCTCAAATTCCAGCACCCACATGGTAGCTAACAACTATCCATAACTCTAGTTCCAGGGGATCCAATGTCTCCTTCTGACGTCCATGGGTATTGCATGACACTGGTGCACTCACATACATGCAGGCAATACACTCATATACATAAAATTAAAAATAATAATTTAAGCCAGGTGTGGTGGTGCATGCCCATAGTCCCAGCACTTGGGAGGCAGAGGCAGGCAGATCTCTGTGAGTTCAAGGCCAGCCTGGTCTACATAGTGAGTTCCAGGACAGCTGGGGCTCCAGGGAGACCCTGTCTCAAAAAGACCAAAGGAAAAAAAAATTAAAAAAGCACTCCAATAAACTCACCATCTCACTCAGCTAGGTGGGTGGAACCATTTCTTTGTTCTGACATTGGAGCCCTAACTGGGGTGAATAGACATTTGTTCACATCTCCCCAGGAAAAGTCACACAACACAATGTATGCTTGACCAGGTGTAGCAAACCGCTCCATGAGCCAAAGCTCTTAACTGTGGAGCCATCTCTCCAGTCCCCTGGTTGCTGTTTCTTATAGTTGGGTGGCCAAAAAGAAAAGAGAATAAAAGTTACAGAGATGAAAGGGAACATGGTAGATATAACAGGAGA